AAAAAATACGGTAATATCTGGTCCAACATTTCTGATGTTAAGATGATGCCGTGCGCAAATCAGTTGGAGTATCACCCTCATTTTACAAGAGACGAGCTAAAAGAATACTGTAGGAAAGAAGGGATCTTTTTCCAGGTCTGTTTTCTATACTTCACAGAGTAGAGTCATTATTGATGCGCCCCGCATTCGGCTTCTACTTAGAATCGTGGTGGGACCTGAATGCGTTCGAGGCCCGAACAATGGATTACGGTTGTCAGCCAATGTACAGCCGGCGCCTTTATCCTCCCAAACAAGTCCGATACCATTAAACCGAATTTGAAAACTCGAAGATGGAGATGGTATCGATCGGGCCGATTGGATCCCCGGATATCGTGGTAGTTATCAACTGGTACTGACAACCTAAGACCCCCGCACTTTATACTTGAAGTTATAATGGGTTGTTCAGTGTATTAAGATCATGGAAAAGTAGTATCATGGGCATATGCAAGTTGGAACAGCAGAAAATTATAGTGCTTGGAAAGTCTTTCAGGCATTCTCATCGCTTGCTCGACAGGAGCCTACACTTATGAATGATCGTGTTGTTAAGAATTTGGCAAAATCTCGAAATACTAGTGCTGCGGTATGTTTCAATTTAGAGCACCTTTTATTCCTTGCAAGAAATCTTTGTATTTCAGATGATCTTACTATCATTCGCTGTGAGCCAAGGTGTTGGAATTGTTCCCAAATCTACTATTCCTGACGAAATCAAGCAGAATATAGAGGTTTGTGCTAGCAAACGAGATGTTTGACTTGATGAAAAGTTCATTTTTTTACAACCTTCCCATGATTCAGGTGGTGAACTATAAACTGAGCAAAGAAGAAATCGAGTCATTGCATAAGCTGAATCGTGATCAAAACTATATTCCTAATTGTTACGGATGGCGTGTGCTATAAGCTACATTAAGCCGACAAATGAACCACTTCTTTAAATTGTGACTTTTTGCATTTAATGACGAGTATAGGAGACAGAAAAATGGGCCTGCAAGGGTCAACCATTCCACCTGCACTTAGCACCTTCTATTTTAGCCCTACTGCAGCTATTTTTATCCGAAGTGATGGAAAAGGTGGTCGCTCTAGTGCTGGCTGACGTATGATCCGCAATGTTGGAACACTTAGGTAAAGGATAAGAAAGAGGCTGATCCTTGGGGGTGGACAAAATTAAGGAAACAAAGAAGCATCTAAGCAGCAACGGACTGTCCATTTTCGATTCGGTAGAAATCGACACTATCGGTTCATTGCCTGCGCGCTTTCCTCGGAAGAAGTCTTCAAACCAGATCAGAAGTATAAGATTTTATACTTGCTACCATACATGCTCCTACTATAGCCACCCTTGCGTGGGGATATGGTGCGCTAGCAGCAAAAAAATCATGGTCAGTGAGCTCAATGCAGTAGGCTTGGAAATGATCATGTTCAAGAAGCAATCGATGGTGAATAAGTGGGTGCAATAATAGTGCAATACTACGGCTTCCTTGGCTATGGTTGTCGGTGTAAGAGGAAAAGGTGGATGAGCAACTTGGTCGTGACTGTTGCCTCGTTCTTGCGAATTAACATATACAACCCCAGGCAACTGGAACGAGGGCCGCACATAAAGCTGGTGTAAACTGGAGCAGAGGAACATTCCGATGGTACAGAAATGGAGAAGCATCCAAACTTTAGTGTAAAATGAGTTTCACTATATAATTTGTGGGGTTGAAACGTTACACCAACCTTCAATTACGGTGTAGTACTAGTGATCTTCATTGAATATAATTCAGAGAATCCAATGACAGCTCAGATGAACGCGCTGATCGCAAAGACTTCGTTGCGACGTTGTGAAGAGTTTCTTTGGGCCTTCGACTATGGAAACAGCTGCAACTTCAGGGACAATGACATTAATGATGCAGTGATTAACTTCATCAGAATGCCGTGTAGTCTTCTAGTTTCTCACGCCCTCTTCCTGCTCAACACCTTCACAACTCAAGCAGCAGTCACCCAAACTGTTAGTGACCATATTATTGGAGTATTGGTTCTGAAAAATTTCGTTGACGCACTCAAAAAATTCTAAGACCGCTATACCATTCATAATTTTATTATAGTTCTTGGGACTCCTTCTTCAGCTGTGAGTAGACCGAGAAGGTGAAGTGTTCTGCATGAGTTCTAAGCATGCAGAGATGTGCAACAATCCTGATTTATACAGCATTGCAGAGAATTCGCATACAACA